ATATACAACAAACATGAATAAACATGAAATGAGAAATGGTAAAAGAAGAAATAAATAAAATAACAACAAGAATAAAGAAAGAAATAGAAATAAATTAAGTGATGATTAGAAAAGAGGAATTAACAAAAAGAAGAAATGAATGATGATTATAAAAGATAAATATAAAATATAATAAATATAAAATCAAAACTAAAATAACATAATAATATAATAACAATATCATTGTTTTTATCTGATTTTATTCTTATTTTATTTATCTTCTTTCATTATTTTATTCTTCTATTTTGTTAAATGAAAATAAGTTATAATCATATAAGAAATATTATTATGAAACATTGTTCATTTAGAATTAAATCATTATGTTAGAGAAAAGTATTAATGAAAATCAGTGATGAGTATTATCATAAATGAAAATGATATATTATGTGGAATAGATAAATGAATAAAATTAGTCTAATGATTGATAAATAGTATTGAATATCACAATAACATGAGTTAAATAAAAATAATACAAATAAAAATGATACAAATAATAATAATATCAATCAATGGAATAATAAAAGTAGAAATATTAGAATAAAGAAAGAAATACAAATGAAAAACAATAATAAAAAAGTATAAAATATTGTTATTAAAAATATGATAAATAACATTAAACAATGAATCTATCACAATAAAACATATTTTAGTTGAATTAATTAATACCAATGATGAGACTAATCTCCACTAAATCAAGAAATAATGTAAACTAATTCTCTCACTGCTTCATTAAATATTTTTATTTATGTTTTAGTACCCATAATGTTTTATTCTACATTTATTTATAAATATCTCTAATGAATGAACCACTAAGTTAAGCTCTGTTTTGGTTTTTTTTTTCATTAAAAATATACATTACATATTATTAAACTCAATTCTCTTTGTTATACCTTTAATAAACTTAGTAGATAAGAAAATTTGTAATTAACTGACTGAAAGAGAAAACAGACAAAAAGAATTAGACTTAAATAATATCTTTTTTAGAAGAACAAAAAACATCTGATATTTCTTTTTGTCTTTTACGTTGAAGACATTCTAAACACTCTGAAGCAGAAAAACGTTTTGATACATCAGAATCAAACATGCCTTTTAATAAAAGTTGTTGACTATCAGTTAAGAGATTGAAACAAGGGAATGAAGAATAACTATTATGTTGAATATTATCAAGAAGTTCTTTAATCTTGTAGTCATTAGAACAAAAAGGATGTCTTCCAGTAAGGATAATATAAATTATAACACCAGCACTCCATATGTCAATTTTTCTTGCATCATATCCTGTTTTTTTATCTTCAAATAGTTCAGGAGCAGCATATAAAGGAGTACCACATAAAGTTGCAGCATGGATAGTACCTGTTAATTCTTTACCAAATCCAAAATCAATTAACTTGATATGAATTTCATCTTTAATTCGAGTAATCATTAAATTTTCTGGTTTAATGTCTCTGTGAACAATATCAATTGAATGAAGATACTTGAGAAGTTGAAGAAGTTCAATAATAATATCATTTTTTTCTTGATGAGATAATGAATTTTCTTTTAATACTTTTTCTAATGTTGTTCCATTTATTAATTCCATAATAACAAATATCATTTCATTTGTTTCAAAAAGTTCTTTGAATTTTACGGAATTAGGGTGATTAATTTTTTTCATAGTATTACATTCTCTGTGTATTTGATTAAGAGAATTCTTTGCTTTCTCTTTGTTAATAATTTTGATTGCAAATTTAGTATTTGTTGCTAATTCCATTATTTCTCTCACAACACCAAATGACCCTTTTCCAATATATTTTCCTAATTGATATTTCTTAAATAACGAACATTGTTTATTAATTAAATCTATTATTGTAGAATCATAATAATCAAATGTTATATAATCAGGTTGTGTTATTTTGTTAAGAAATGTTATTTCATCAAAACAACTTAAATAAGTTTCTAAATTTTTCTCTAAACGTTCTCCATTTAAATAAGTTCCATTAGTTGATTTATCTGTTATTGTTGTTACTGTTAAATTTGGTAATTCACTCCGTTTAATAATACAATGGATTACACTAACTTTAACTATTGAAGATAAAAATTCATATGCCTTTCTTCCAATTATCATCTCTCCTTTGTTAAAGGGAATTTCTTTGTGAAATTGTTCACAAACAAATTTTCCCCACATATTCTTTCTTTACTTGAATTTTTAGTTCTTTTTGATTTTCTTCAGTCTTTCTTTTTGGTTTAAAGAGTTTTACAAAAAAGGTTACAAATACTTCAGATTAATTTTCTTTATTTGATTCTTTTAATATTTTTTGACTAATATAAGCATCCTAAATAACTGAAAAGCTGACAAATATATTTTACTTTTGTCGAAATATTAAGTATACTACAATTAATCAAAATATGATATAATAATCATAAATGAGAAAATAAATCATTTGTAGAGTGTTTAATGATATTATAATGAAGTATGAATGAAAAATATGATTTTAATGAATTAATAGAAAAAATAATATTATATTATATTGAAATAGTTTAAATATTAATAAGAAATTATATTGAAATTAATTATGAAATAGTTCATATTTATAGTTTTATTATTATAATTATTTATTATTTTATTTTTATTATTGTTTTATTTCATTGAAATTTTTTTGAACTAACATTATTACAGAGTTATATTTATTAAAATATCTTTCCTCTCATATTTCATTGATTTTTCATTAATTTGTTTAGTATTTTGATCTTCATTAATATTAATTATATTTGTACTATCTCTTTCATCATTTATTAACATTGCAATATTTAGGTGTTTTATTTCAAATATATTTATTAATGGTATTAATAAATTGAATTTCATGGTTATTAATTGATGTATTAACATTTAAATACAATCATTCCATCTACTTTAAATTTTGATAAAATACAAATAATATTGTGAGATAATCATTGATATTAATTGATATGATAACATTCATTTAAATCAATTAACTTTCATTCAATTTAAACAGAAAATGAATGAGAAATATAATAATTAATATCAAATGAATAAGAAATTAGAAATAAACATATTCAATTTTATTCAATATATTGACTGATGATTGATATAATTCATTCACAAATTGATTAATAACAATATCTTTCATATTCAAATGATAGAAAATGATAATTTAATATATATTATTTATTTGAAACATTCAAAACACTTTAAAAAATGATTTATTGAGAAACATCAATATAATTTAAATGAAATATTCATTATTAAAAGTAAATTTCAATTTCATACATTAGGTGTCTGTGAGTAATGAGAAACTTTCTGTAAATAAAAGAAATTTTTCTGTTCATTGATTCGTTCATATTATAAATAAAACCTATAAAAAATAATAAAATCAAAAAAAAACAAACATATTAAACTAATTTTTTATTTAAAACATGAATAATCCTCTTCAATAATAACGGACATAATCTTCTAAAAAAGATTTATTTTAAAATTTTTATTCTAAATATTGTGTTATTTTTGAAGAATTTAGCAATTAAGTTCAAGTAATTCTATCAAAAAATAATTATGAATAGTTAATATTTTTTTATATTTATAATTTAACCAAAATGAAGTAAATGAAAAAAACTTTAGAAAAAGTGTGAGTTTGGTTACAAAATAGGATATGGCATGTACAATACATTAAATAAAAAAATCTTAATTATTTTTGAATCGAGTTTTTATTACAAAATATTAAAAAAAAGATATAATTGAATAATTAAATAATCTGTAATTAACAAAAGAAATCAAGAGAATTTAATATAAAAAAAGATATGTTTTATAAGATATAAAACAAATTTTAGTTTCAATTGAAAATCTGTTAGTTACAAAATATTAAATAAAATCTATTAAAGAAATTAAAAAAAATACTAAAGAAAATATTATAATAATTTAAATAAAAATTAGTTAATTAAGTATTAATAGAATTTTCATCTATTCTTCCTAGCTCAGAGGAGACTAATCCCATCCCTGAGCTTATTAAAAAAGAGTAATCTCTTTGTTTAACCTATCATTTAGGTTTGTCTTGCAAAATGAGGAAAGCACTTCTTTGTTTTATTTTTCCTATTAAGGTTTTTCAAACTTCTTCTGCTTATTTCTTCTTTTTAAGCCTTTGTTTGTTTTCTGCCTTAATTTTAAGGAATTTCATTTTTCTTATTTTATGAATGGAAGAAGGAATCATTTTATTACTACTGTATTACTTTGACTAATCTTCTTTTTAGTCTTACTTTGACTAATCTTCTTTTAGTCATACCCACACTTCAGTAGATTCTTATATTACATCCATGTAATATTCTACTGTATTCTCTTGCTGCACCCTTTGCAGCATTCCCTAATACATTTCTAATTCAAAGGCACCGTCATAACCAGATAATAACTGGGAGAGTCGAAGAATGAATTTGTACTAGGGTTTATGTGTGGTGTTTCAGACGTGCCACCTTCGATCTATTATTATAATAATTTAATAAAATAAAATTCAAAGTGCTATTTTCCTGGTCATTTTACTATGTATGGAATATTTCAATAGTTACAACAGAAAACAAAAAACAGTCTTTGTAAATAAAGAAAAAATTGAATTATTTTAGTAATAAAAAAGTAAAAAACCTTTTTTTTTTAAGACTTAGAGTAAGGAAAGAATTAATTTTAGGGTAAGTATTTTTTTTATTCTGTCTTTTTCTTACAAATTTTTTATTCTCAATACTAACAAAAATTTTCTTCTAAGAAAATTAGTTTTACTCATGTGAAGACTAAAAAAATTCAGTTTTTCAAAGTTTGTCTTTTCACTAAGATATTTTCATTATACTTAATCTTTTAGAATGGGTGAAAGGAGAACCGTTAAAATAGTTATGGTAGGTGATGGTGCTGTTGGAAAGGTTTGTTATTTCTTCTTCTTATTTTTTAGGTTTGACATTATTTCAATGAAGAGAAATATTTGAATTTAAATAATATAATAATATTATCTTTTTGTTTTATGTATTATTAATTTATTTATGGCTAATGAATAAATGCTAATAATTAAGACTGCACTCTGTAGTACATTTGTTAATAATCAATTTCCACAAGATTATATCCCAACAGTTTTCGATAATTTTTCACGTTTAGAAACTGTTGATGGAGAACAAGTGACTATGAGCATTTGGGATACAGCTGGTCAAGAAGAATATGTTTGTTTTGATAAAGCTTAATGAAGAAAATGAAAAAAAAGATGTTTATCATGTATAGGATAGATTAAGACCAATGAGTTATCCTGATACTAATATACTAATAATTTGTTTTGCAATAGACTCAAAAAGTTCATTTGTGAACATTGGTCAACGATGGATACCAGAAATTAAACATTTTTGTCCTGATGTACCTTTTATAATTGTTGCAACTAAATCAGATCTTAGACAATCACAAAGTACAATAGAAAAATTAAGAAAAGAGGGAAAAGCATTAATAACTGAAGAAGAAATAAAAAGTCATTGTAAAAAATTAAAAGCTGCTGGATATATAGAATGTTCAGCTCTTGAAAATCAAAATGTTGGAGATCTTTTTTATGAGGCTGTGAGAAAAACAAAACCAAAATCACATAAAGATAAAAAGAAGAAAGGAGGACTCTTTGGAATCTTTAAAAAAAAGTAAGCAATATGCTTCTTGTTATCGAGATAATTCTTTGTTCATGAGATAATTTTATTTTATATTTCATTTACAAGTTTTTGACTTAGTTAAAAGAAGTTTTTAATAAATATTTTCAAAAATTAAAATTTCAAATGTTATGATTTGATATAATTATTTGGATTTTCTATTTTAATCTTCTTCCTCTGAAGAATCTATAAGAATCCTCTAGAACACCTATATAATTCTTTTAAGTGCATATTTGTTTTGAAGAAGTTACTTAGTAAAAGTAAAGTGAAGAATGCTAAATAAAAATAAATGAAAGATTTTCTTCTTTATTCTTAATAAATCTCAACAATTCTTTAAAATCAACTTTACTTGAAACCGTTCATATATTTTTAGTCTTTTTAAAGAAATGAATCTTCTACGTATTTTTTATAATCTATTTAAAGTTAAGATTAGGTGTTTCTTTTCATTGATTCAAAGAAAGATGACTGCTCAAGATATTACTACTACTCTTCTTCATCCAAAAGGTGATCATGTTTTACATTCACATGCTTATCCAATCTTCCAAACTTCTACATTCTGTTTTGATTCAACTCAACAAGGTGCTGATTTATTTATGGGTAAAGGAGAAGGTCATATCTACTCTAGACTTGGAAATCCAACTGTTGAACAATTTGAAGAAATGGTATGTTCTATTGAAGGTGCAGCTGGTTCTGCTGCATTTGGTTCTGGAATGGGAGCTATTTCATCATCAACACTTGCTTTCTTACAAAAAGGAGATCATTTAATTGCAGGAGATACATTATATGGATGTACTGTTTCATTATTTACACATTGGTTACCAAGATTCGGTATTGAAGTTGATCTTATTGACACTTCTGATGTAGAAAAAGTAAAAGCAGCTTGGAAACCAAATACTAAAATGGTTTATTTAGAATCACCAGCAAATCCAACATGTAAAGTTTCTGATATTAAAGGTATTGCTGTTGTTTGTCATGAACGTGGAGCACGTTTAGTTGTTGATGCAACTTTCACTTCACCATGTTTCCTTAAACCATTAGAACTTGGAGCAGATATTGCACTTCATTCTGTTAGTAAATATATTAATGGACATGGTGATGTTATTGGTGGTGTTTCATCAGCAAAAACAGCAGAAGATATTGCAACTATTAAATTCTATAGAAAAGATGCAGGATCATTAATGGCACCAATGGATGCATTCTTATGTGCAAGAGGAATGAAAACTCTTCCTATAAGAATGCAAATTCATATGGAAAATGGACTTAAAGTTGCTAAATTCTTAGAGCAACATGAAAAAATAGTTAAAGTTAATCATCCAGGACTTGAATCATTCCCAGGTCATGACATTGCTAAAAAACAAATGACTGGTTATGGTTCAACATTCTCATTTGAAATGAAATCATTTGAAGCTGCTAAAAAATTAATGGAACATCTTAAAGTATGTACTTTAGCAGTTTCACTTGGATGTGTTGATACTCTTATTGAACATCCTGCTTCAATGACTCATGCAGCTGTTCCTGAAAATATAATGAGAAAACAAGGAATTACTCCTGAATTAGTTAGAATTTCTGTTGGAATTGAAAATGTTGATGATATTATTGCTGATTTAAAACAAGCATTAGAGCTTTGTTAATTCACTTTCTTTCATTTTAATAATTTGGTTATTTGGTTATATTCAAAAAGACTAATATAATAAAAAAATAAAAGAATATGTTCATTTGGATTATTTGAATAAATAAGTCTCATCTATTTGAACCTATATTAATGAAAAAAAATACTCTAGCTTATAATGAACATTCCAATTCTATTTTTTAGAAATTAATTTTATAAAAAGTTATTAATGTATTTTTATTATTTTCATTAATACTGTTACTAGTTTTAAAGAAGTGTAACAATATTCATGAAGCTATCATTCCTTTTATCAAATTTAGTGATAAATTAATCAAAGTATTTAAAAATATTAAAATGGTTATGTTTTTATCAAATAATATTTATTGTATGTAAATTTGTCTAACAATACAATGAATTTATATATATTGAAAGAGTCATTTTATATATAAATTTGATATTCTCAACATTCACAAATCGACTTTCTTCAAAGTGAGAAGTTGTTACATCAATTTGTTCAATAACTCATACCTCTATCAGAGAACTTCTTTCCAAAATGTGAGAGTTAAAAGTCTCTTCTTCTGATGTGCTGGCACGTTTTAATAAAAAGATGAATAAAAGGATTTTTTATTATTAATAAAAATATTTAATGAAGTAATGATGGAATTGTTTACATTATTTCTTGATTTAGTGGAGATTAGTCTCATCATTGGTATTAATTAATTCAACTAAAATATGTTTTATTGTGATAGATTCATTGTTTAATGTTATTTATCATATTTTTAATAACAATATTTTATACTTTTTTATTATTGTTTTTCATTTGTATTTCTTTCTTTATTCTAATATTTCTACTTTTATTATTCCATTGATTGATATTATTATTATTTGTATCATTTTTATTTGTATTATTTTTATTTAACTCATGTTATTGTGATATTCAATACTATTTATCAATCATTAGACTAATTTTATTCATTTATCTATTCCACATAATATATCATTTTCATTTATGATAATACTCATCACTGATTTTCATTAATACTTTTCTCTAACATAATGATTTAATTCTAAATGAACAATGTTTCATAATAATATTTCTTATATGATTATAACTTATTTTCATTTAACAAAATAGAAGAATAAAATAATGAAAGAAGATAAATAAAATAAGAATAAAATCAGATAAAAACAATGATATTGTTATTATATTATTATGTTATTTTAGTTTTGATTTTATATTTATTATATTTTATATTTATCTTTTATAATCATCATTCATTTCTTCTTTTTGTTAATTCCTCTTTTCTAATCATCACTTAATTTATTTCTATTTCTTTCTTTATTCTTGTTGTTATTTTATTTATTTCTTCTTTTACCATTTCTCATTTCATGTTTATTCATGTTTGTTGTATATTTTATTCTTATTATTTTATGTTGTGTTATTCTTATTTATCTTTCTTATTATGTTTTGTTTATTATCGTTTAAACAGAGAATAAGAATGAATAAGAAATAAGAAATAACATAAATATGTTGATGTATTTTATCATTTCTTTATTTGTTTATTCTTATTTCTATTATCTTATTCATTTTATTCATAATGAATTAATTCAATGAAATAATACAAATAAATTGTTTATTCATTTCTTTCTTATTTCTTTTCTTATTTATTAAAAACACCATCATTGTGTGTGAAAAATTTCAAATGAAATAAAATCAACAATGAATTATGTCAATTTTTAATTTATCATTTCATTCATTGGCAGATGAATGAAGTGTTCATATTCTTCATTGTTTTTAGTTTATTTTCAATGATTCAAGATTGAATCATTTCATTTCAATTACCATGATTCGTTTTTGTGTGAAACGTTCTGGAAGTTGTTTTCCACAAAGTGCATTTGATATTCCATTATATTCAAATGAACGTTGATAACAATATGATTGTGTTTTATTATTTTCTTTAAAAACACAAATATCATGTCCAAATCCAAATTCAAACAAACAATCATCTGTTTGACTATTTAAATAAAATGCACATTGTGGTTCTTTAATATCAAATTTCATCATTCTTTTCATTCTTCCTTTTGACTCTAATGAAAATAAAAATGATTTTTGATCAGTTATACAACTTTCAACTTCATCAATTTTAGAATTAACATATCCTCCAAATTTATTTCCTTCTTCATCTTCAATAACAATCATTATATGTTCTTTATTCTTTATTTTTTGATCAAATACTGATGTATTTTTATTCCAATCATCAACATCTGATTCAAATAGTACATTTCCTACTTTTTTATTTGTCCATTCTTCTATTTGTCTCATTTCTTCCATACTATTCATTCCTTTCATTATTTGCAATCTTTCTTCTTCTTGTTTCTTTCTTTCTTTTTCTTCCTCTTCTTCTTTTCTCTTCTTTCTTTCTAAATAATCACTGTAATGCTTTTTCCATTCTTCTTTCTTCTTATTAAATTCTGATGTGATTGTATCTGTTTCTTCAGTTCTTCTGAATAGTTTATCTTTCATTATCATTTCTTCAATTGAAATGATTTTATCTATCAATTCATTCCGTGTTTTACCAAATGTTTCTTCATCATTATTACATTCTTCTATGATTTTTGATATTTTATTCTTCATTATTTCTATTTGGTTGATTGTTTCTTGACTTTTCTCTATCACTAATTTTCTTCTTCTTTCTGTTTCATCCATTCTATCAAATATTCCTTCTCCTCTTTTAATAGCTTCTGAATATGTTTCATTCTCTTTTAGTTCAAATACTTCATTTTTAATACTTTCTAAATAAGATTGATAATTGTTATTAACATCATCAATTGATTGTTGAATATTTGGAAGTGTTTCTACTACTTCTTTAATCAATTGATTGTTTTTGTTTATTAACTCTTCCATTTTAATTTAAATTGATGTTTATAAGTTCAAAATATTGATGTTTAAATAATTAATCCACGTTATTGACATCAAGTCTGTTATTAATTTTATCATCATTTTCTTTTATCAAACATCATTTTTATTTTATTTTTATATTAACAATAATTATATAATAATATTAATAATATAATAATAATAAAATTATAATATTGTTATTTTCTATAATTAGTTTATTTTATTTTTAGTATTTTTTCATTTTTTTTGTTAATAAATAACAAAAAAAAATAGAAGAGAAGAAAATTCAATTCTGTTTTATTTTTATTATTTCATCGTTTGTGATTTGGGATTCGAAGATGGCACGTCAGAGACACCACATGAAACCCTAAAATATTCACACGCTTCGAATCTCCCAGTTATCGTCTGGTCATGATGTGCCTTTGGTGAGATAATATCTATTCAACACTAACTGTTTATTATTATTAATATTTATTATGAGTGGTTATTATGTAATATTATTATTCATAAGGATTATTGTTTATTAAGAATTATTATTAACTAAGAATTATTATTAACTAAGAATTATTATTAACTAAGAATTATTATTAACTAAGGAGGTATTATTTATTAAGAATTATCATTTATTAAAGAAGACGCATATATAATTGATATTGTTGCACAAAAATTAAACATAAGGATATTATCAAGGAATAGGGTTTCTTTAAGGGGTGTCGAAGGTAAAAGGAGATGAGCTATAACAGTATGTTATGGATATACTCTCCTTAAAACAACAATATAAAGAATGAGAAATATTATATTACTCATTAAAATCAAAATAAAAGTCAGGCAGCAACTTAAATGATTCATCATTTAAGTCGAGTATGCTTGCAAAAACTTTATTTCAATAGAAATAAAGCGTGTTGAAGAAACTGATTCGCTCACTTCTCAACATGATGAAAAACCTAAAAAATAAGGTTAATCATAATTGATTTCTTTTCTTTCATCGTTTGTGATTTGAATTTTCATGTTTTATCAACATTATTTCAATCAATTAATTTAATAAAGATAAGAAATGATAAACAAAAATAAGATAATAAAATAAGAATAAGAAATAAAAGAGAAATGAAATGAAATAATTATTATAAATACACAATAAAAAGAATGAAATCAAATAAAAGAATCAAATAAACAAAATGATAAAATATATTAAATAATAACATACTAAAAGAAATATTCATTGTTTTAAATATTAAAATACAGAATATAAGAAATATCAATATTGTTAATATTTATCTTTTTGGTTATTGAAGATAAAATAATAATACTTTAATCATATTTCATTCTTTTATTTTGATTATTTAACAATATTATCATCATTCATTCTAATTGATAATTTATGAATAAATAAAAATATAATCATTGTCACTAAATAAAAAATAATTGTTTAATGGAAATTAAAAATTGTAATAATAAATATATTTCAAAAATTATGTAAAATTATTTATTCATTTTTATTTAGTCATAACATTACAAGTTTATTTTTAATTATGTTTGAATTTCAACCCATTAATAAAAAACAAACTGCCGTGTTAAATTATCGATAAATTTATTCATTTATTTTTAAATATTTTCTATTTCTTTTTATTTCAAAAATCCAGTTTTTAATGTAAAATTAAATAAAAACAATATTAATAGAAAATTATCTTAAAATAAAATAAATAAAATAATGTTTATGTAACATTCGATAAAATATTTTATTTTTTTAAATACTTTGTTGTTTTTCATTTAAATAAAATATAATGTGATGAAAGTTAAAAAATGAAGTTATTTATTTCAAATGAATAGGAAATTGTATTTAATAAGAAATAAATACTTTCAATTCATCAAATTGATAAATAATTGTCATATTTAATTATTATTTAAACAACCATCAACTAAAAAATTAATAAATATTAAATAAAATAAATTACTTATCCTTTGAAATACAAGTGATTGAAAAAATACATTTTATAAATTCAAAATAAAGAAGAATGTTTTCAAAGAAAATAATAACGCAAAACCAGAAAATAAAGAAACAAAATGAACATAATGAGAAAGTGATGAATGATATATTTATTATTAATACATCTGTGTTACAAGAC